GAACACTACATCAAAAACTAATGATGTAATGTATGGTGATTAATATAACATAGTAATAATAAAAAAAGATCACATTGACGTGTTGATATAATTAACCATATTAGTAGATGGCTAATTAACTAATATGGTTAATTATATTAATATGTTGATGTAATCTTTACATGTTAAGCCACTTTGCATTCCTGGAATAAATCCCATTTCGTCATAATTTAAAAAAAAAAAATACGTATTGCAAATATTTTCTCCTAAAAAAAAAAAAAGAATTAGCGCTGCAGCTATGGGTTATGCACCTCTTTGTATTACAAAGAAAAATACATATTCACAAGCTCTCCATATGAGTTCAGGTAGCCATTACTTGATACAATAAGCATTTTGTCTTTGCTCCACTGGAAAGTATGAAATGATAAGAGTTTTAAGATGCATTTGCTTGATTACTAATAAAGTTGAACATGTGTTCTAAGTTTATTGGTCATTTATGTTTCCTCTTCTGCAAATTCCTTTGCACATCTTGAGCCATTATTTATTGGGTGATTTGTCTTTTTCTTAGGAAATTTCTTTATGTATTCTAAATACTAATCTTCTGTCAGTTTGTAAATGACCTATTAGTGACTTGTTTTTTCACTTTCTTCATTGTCTCTTTGGATCCATCCAAAGATGTACACAATTATACACTGATGATTACACATGATTATACACTGACAAGTTATTTTAATGTAGTTAAACTTATCAATTTTTTCCTTCACAATTTGTACTTTTTGTGTCTTAAGAAATCATTCTCAACCCTAACAATAACAGATAATCTCCATCACACTTTCTAAAAATGATATACTTTCTCACTGTAAGTCCTTAATCTACCTTGAAAAGGATAAGTGTAGGGATGCCTGGGTGGCTCAGTTGGTTAAGTGACTGTCTTCGGCTCAGGTCATGATCCTAGAGTCCCTGGATCGAGTCCCACAAAGGGCTCCCTGCTCAGAAGGAAGTCTGCTTCCCCTTCTGACCCTCCCCCCTCTCATGTGCTCGCTCTCTCAAATAAATAAATAAGATCTTTAAAAAAAAAAAAAAAAGGGTAAGTGTGCATTTCTTTTTAACATAGCTAAACAACTCTGTCAGCACTGTTTACTGAACACTTCATCTTTTCCACACAGATCCGAAATGCTAATTCTGTCACAAAACAAGTTTCCATCTATGCACAGGTATTTTCTAAACTCCATTCTGTTCCACTGGTCTACTTGTCTACCCTGGTGCCAATACAACAATGTCCTAATTATCATATCTTTATAAGTCATAATATCTGGTAGGGTATATCCTCTGATTTGGGTATCAATTTTATACTATCTTCATAAAAGGTAGGCTCCCTTTTTTTCTCTTTTCTGAAAAAGTCTGGGAAAGATTTAAGTCATTTGTGTCTTGGATGTCTGGCAGAATTGGTATATTACTAGTGTTTTCTTTACAAATAGATTTTTGACTAGTGATTCAATTTCTTTTCACGGTGATAGCACAATGTGGTCTTTCTCTTTCTTCATGAGTCAGTTTCAGTGAGCTGTATTTTCTAGAAATGTGTCTACTTTGCCAAAGTCTTCAAGATTTTTGGTGTAAAGTTATGCAAAATATCCTCTTACTATATTTTTTCATCAGCTTTTCCATACCTAATACTGCTTATTTGTGCACTTTCTTTTTCCTTGACCAGTCTTGCCACTGATTATTTTATTAATTTCTGCTCTTATTTTTGTTGTTTCCTTCCTTTCCTTTTATTCTGTCCTAACTTAAGTTGTATGTTTAGTTCATTATTTTTCAGCCTTCCTGCTTTTTTAATATGAGTACGTAAGATTATGGTTTCCAATTAAGTACCATTCTAGCCACACCCTACAAATTTTGATATGTAACATCTTTTTCATTCATTTCTAACTATTTTCTAATTTCTAGTATGATCTCTTCTTTGACCTACAAGTTATTTAAAAATATGTTCTCTTTAATTTCTAAATGAATTAGAGTTTTCAGGTCATCTTGTGTTATTGGTTTCCAAACTTAACTGCACTGGGATTAAAGAGGGTAATCTATATAAAACACATACTTGGAAATTTTCTTGAAAATACTTTGAAATTTGTTGAAATTTATGGTCCATATATGATTAATTTTTTAAGATTTTATTTGAGACAGAGAGAGAGAGAAAACACGAGCAGGGAGAGAGGGGCAGAGGGAGAGGAAGAGTGAGAAGCAGAGTCCCCAGTGAGCAGGGAACCCAACACGGGGCTCAATCCCAGGACCCAGGGATCATGAGCTGAGCTGAAGGCAGATGCTTAAATGACTGAGCCACCCAGGCACCCCCATATGTGGTTAATTTTTATAAATATTCTGTATTCTTTAAAAGAATATGAATTCTCTAGTTAGGTGTAACAATTTATATATCAAGGTTATTAATTATTTTTTCCTTGTTTTTTCTACATGATCTATCAATTAGTCATGAATTATGTTAAAATCTCTCCCTATAGGGGTACCTGGGTGGCTCAGTCAGTTGGGCGACTGCCTTCAGCTCGGGTCATAATCCTGGAGTCCCGGGATTGAGCCCCACATTGGGCTCCCTGCTCAGTGGGGAGTCTGCTTCTCCCTCTGTCCTTCACCGTGCTTGTGCTCTCTCACCCCGCTCATGCTCTCTGGCACTCGCTCTCTCAAATAAATAAATAAAACCTTAAAAAAAAAATCTCTCCCTATAATTATATATTTATCTATCTTTATGGTACTGATCAACTTTGCATTATATATGTTAAAGCAAACAAACTTAGAATTAGAACACCCTCCCAATTATTAGTGGCCGGTCACTAATAATGCTCTTTGCCAGCCATTGATAAAACTGTACCAGGGGAGAAGAAAGTCTTAGATTTGCTTGGAACATCTTTTCCCATCCTTTTACTATCAAACTTTCCATGTCCCTCCATTTTAAGTAGATCTTGCCAAGAAGAACATCTTAGGACTCTGTTTTTATTTCTTTGTTTATTTTCCTTTATTTCTGTTTTTCTTTTATCCAGTCTGACAATCTTTTTCTGGGGGATATGTGTGGGGATTAGGTCCATTTCCATTGATTGTGATTACTGATATATTTGCATTTATCTGCCATTCCTTTTGTACTTTCTCTTTGTCCTATCTTTTCCATGTTTCATCCTTACTTTTTTTTTTAAAGATTTTATTTATTTATTTGGGAGAGAGAGAGAGAGAGAGCACACAGGCAGAGGGGAGGGGCAGAGGGAGAGGGAAAAGCAGGCTCCCCGCCGATCAGGGAGCCCAATGCAGGACTCGATCCTAGGACCCCAGAATCATGACCTGAGCTGAAGGCAGATGCTTAACCAACAGAGACACCCAGGTGCCCTCACCCTTACTTTTTAATGACATTTCTAACAGATGAAGCTCACCATTTGTTAAGGGGTTAAAAAAAGAATAGTACTGTCTCACCATCCCTACTCTACAGAAAATGATGAATTAAAATTCAGTGGTGAAAAGCTTTCCTAAAGTTATAAAGCTAATCAGTGAGAAAGCCCAGGACCTAATACACCACCAAGTACTCTTCTGCTACACTGCATCTGACTCTTACCCACAGCAGTAGTAGTAAGATTGGACACATTTCACAGATCCTCCTCAACATTTCACCTTCTGCTCACAAAGTAAAAGTGACAGGTATTATGCTATTCATTTTACATATGGGAAAAGAGAGACATAGGGGCAAAGTCACTTACCTATGGGCAGAGAAATCTTGGTTAAACACAAAAATGTTAAATTTCTAGAAAACTTGAACTCTTAAAAAAAAAAACACCAAACAGAAATTTGTGGAAGAAAAGAAACCCATTAATGAGGGCTTGGGTACCTATATAATCCCTACTAGCTTAGGGATACCCCAAACATGTATTATTTATTATTGGGTCTGCTTAGAAAGTCCTAGGAAGTGTTTTAACGTATGAAGATCTGACAGCAATGATTTGACAGTAATGATTTTAGTTTTCGCCATTTTAGAAGATGGAAACCACCTGAGTACAAAAAGTAGTCAATATCATATTTAAAACAAAGAAAGTTAATGTGCCATTGGGATTTCCTATTTTCCAGGATGAGAAGTAAGCCTAAAAAGTACCAATTTTCAAGAAACAGCTAAAAAATAGCCCAAGTCAGGTTCACTTCTCTAACCACATGGCACGTCTTGTTTTCTCGGTCTCACATTCTGGTCTCTCTTGCCCAGAGGCTCCTGCTTCTTCTGGTTCTTCACATCCATGAACCTCTAAGGATCAAACATTTTTTGTGGGTTGACTTCCAAGTCAGTTTTTGGTTCTATTGTCTTTAATACATAGATTTCCAAGCAGAGACTCATTTTTTTCAAATTAGGAATCTACAGAGTCAAGAAGCATATAGCAGAGGACACTGGACAAAGCCTGGCCCCTCCACTACAGAAAGATCCTCCTGGTAGGATCTCAGATCCCTTGGTAGCTAAACACATCAAGAGGCTTTCAATCCTCCCACATGCAAAAGCAATTCTCAAACATCCCCTTTGAAGTAGCCCTTTTCTCCACTCCAGGCCAGGGTAAGAATAAAAAATACTACTGGAATTCTGATCTACAACAGCTACCATGGCATAAATTATTTGACATTAAAATTATTCCCATTTAATGATATCATTCACTCTACTTTCTTCTGAACTTGTACAAGAAATCACAGGTCCTCAACAAGCATTTGTTTTAATAAGATCATTTGATTAGGTATGATCTTAAAGAGCACCATCTGTGGTTAGTTTTATTCTAAAACTTTCATATTCGATGGTTTTAAAAATAACTTGGAGGAAGCAAGTACAGGATAAGAATTATGAAACCTTTATCATAAATGCGTTACTGATCATCACCAAGTCTTTCTCATCTTTTCCAGGCTTCCAACGCTAATACCCGCATCTCTTGATTCCCAGTTCAGGACTCTTTCCTCTCAAAAAGCAAAGAAAGCAGCTTAAAAGGAAATGAGGCACATAATCATACCTTCCTTGCAAGCATGTTGGCCAGCTGAGACACAGCCATGTGACCAAACAGAAACTGCACCAGCCGCTGTTTGCCCCATTCCATCCAGAAGCTCCACTCAAAGTCGGTCGGGTCCTAAATAGGCCGAAACAGGAGTTAATCAGAGGGATTTTTGCACATCTTAGGCAGAACACAAACTCCAGTTAATAAAACAACCAGAAAGATGGCCAATGTGACTCCAAACTCCATAAAATGGCATTTATACACTTCCAGCCTGACTGCCACCTCAGCCCCACCCACTTCGACTCTTCCCTCCAGCTTAGCCGGTCTCATTGCCATTCTCCAAATAAGCATCTGGTCAGAGCGGATCCCCGAGGACCCTCTGTGGAACAGAAACCATTATTATTCCCATTTTATAAAAGATGAAACAGAGGCTTAAAGAATTCAATTCATGTACCCAGTGTCACATAGCTAGTACAAGCAATGAATTGAGATAATTATCTCAGGTTTGCCGCGCGAACAAGAGAAATGCAAATTGGACGCTAATAAAATTGCTTAAGGTCAATCGTGTTAAATCTTGCTGTCATTTCAGGCAGGAGGATAATTTGATAGAGAAATTAACCATTTCCCCACAGGATTAGGATGAAAGAATGAGAGATATGCTTCCTTTCCCTTCAGAAAGCTCTGGGTCCATTAGCACCCTGTGTCTGGATTTGTACCAGGTACAGGGTCTCTGCAGCTCCCTTGCAGGGGCAGGTGAAAACTTCTGGCAAGACTGAACAGGTGAACAGCTGGGAACTAACATCCAAAAGCCTTGGTTTGGCCTCAGGAGCCCCAGGGAAATCGTGGTGGCCAAGCTGCATATGGAAGGAATAAACAGTGATTGGCCACTCTAAAATGGGCAATGCAGGGTTGGCCAGTGAGCATCTCAGCACCACCATGATGAAGTGGGGATCTGAGATCCTCAGGATTTTCTAGCCGAATTGTGTGGGTGGGGAAGGAATCCCCTAGTGCTACTGATACTGAACAACCCACCAGTCTGCCAACGGAACTTTAATTGGATTTAAAGGCAAATATGTGATTTTTCTTTTTCTTTCTTTCTTTTTTTTTTTTTTTTTACATCTGAGAATTGAGGGGCAATTTCATACCATTACACATATTACAAAACTCTTTTTCCAGAAGGTAAACTATAGATAGAATTTATCTTGATTCATATCAGACTATGAATACAGAGGCAGGAAACCTAGCAGCCAAGGTTGCAAACTTGTTTTGGTTTAGATCCCAAATCTACCCATATACTGGTTATGATGATCTCGAACGAGATGCTTTACCTTTCTGTTCTATCTGCTCATATGATAACATTACTGATCTTCTAGGGGTTTGTGAGGGCTTTTTGCTGTTTGTTTTTTAAAGATTTGTTGATTTATTTGACAGAGAGCGTGGCGGGGGCAGAGAGGGAGAGGGAGAGAGAGAATCTCAAGCAGGCTCCACGAGATCATGACCTGAGCCAAAATCAAAAGTTGGATGCTTAACTGACGAGTCACCCAGGCGCCCCAGGGTTTGTGAAGTTTAAATGAGAACATATATACACCAAAAGTTTAAAACAGTACCTGGCACGCTGCACTCACTAAAAATTGTTACCTGCACTAACTGCTAGTCCCATGTACTCCCATCCTATGCTATCCACAAAAGACTGTATCATGCTTTATATGGTGCCACTTGTTTAAACATTTTTTTCCATTTTCCAAATAAATACTGTACTGACATTATCAAATAACATCTGTTCTCCACATTCAAGATCCTGATATACACACGACCTGCTCATAGAGCCCCCACCGCCATTAAAATCATGGATCTGGTCCAGTTCCTTCCATTCAGAGATGACGATATCATAGTCCAGGACAAGCCCATGCCCCACAGCCAGGGCAGCAGCAGAGCAGACAACTCCAACCTTTGACCTGGCTCTTGACCCCGATCCAAAGCTCGTTTCCCCATCTCAAAAATTTCAAACTAGTGGAGAGTAAATTAACTAAATAAAGGCAAACAAGCTCAAAGGTCACGTGATGATGTCATGCTAGGAAAATGCCATTTTTGTAACGAGGACAAAAGTAAAAACACTAAAAGCCAAGCTTGAAATTTTTTTTTAATTCCCTCCCCCTCAAAAATATTCCAATATTTTACCTTTTTAAATATAATGTTCTTAAACACTAAGAATTACACTTAAAATTCAGAACCCCAGGCTTACCTACGCTTCAAAACTTTTCCAACTTTAATTTTTTAGCAGAAAAATGATATCTCATAAAATATAAGAAACCAAAAAGACCTTTATGTTCCACCAGAAGGCCCAGGATTACTGAATACCCTGTGCTGGTTAAACCCCATCAACAAAAATTACAGTCTTTCATCATCAATTCCTTTTCAAAAAATATCCATTTAAAAGAAATAAAAACATTTCTCTCATGTCTGTCCTTCTCCATTTAAAATATTTACCTACAGGAAATAACCGGACAGAAAAGCTGAGCCAATGAACAGAACAAGATGGCCAATAACTGGTGGTTAATGATTTGGGTAAGAAAAATGTTGACTCGCCTGCTTTTATAGGCAAAAACTTTACAGACGCTGAGTTCAATCACACAATTCAAGGCAAATGGTAGAGCCTCAAATCAAGAACAATTTTTTCATATTCTGTTCCTTCCCCATTTCCTTTCTCGACCCTGCAATTCTTAGTCAATTTGAAAACTATTCTTCAGTTCTCGAAGTGAGTCAGACATAGACTGGGGGATACATTCTAGCCAGACAGAACCAGGACGGCTCCTCCACAAAGGGGAGACTGAACTCCAAGGGACGGTCATCCACATCCCATGTTCTGTATCAGTGCTTCTCAACCTTCGGTGTGCACATAAATCATCTACACATCTTGCTAAAATGTAGATTCTGGCCCAGATTCTTATCTCTGGGATGGGGCCTGGGATTCCAGATTTCCAAAAAGCTCTCAGGTGATTACATCTGGCCTAGAGGCCACATGACGAGTAGCAAAGATCTAACACTGATTATGCCTCCTTACAGTTAAATGTTCCTCACCCCAGAGGATCCTTAGCAGCTCACCCCACTTCGTATGGTTCCCAGGCAGGGACACACTAAAGTGGACCACTTAATATATACAAACTGAACAACCAACATCCTGCACACTATAGAAAGCTCTGAGCACCTACCTAGATTCAAGAATTTTTTTAGATGAATAAGTTAACACACACAGTTATTCATTCTGATGCTTTCAATCTGCAACCAGGCAAAACCGAGAAGTCTAAAGCACAGGATAGTTCAAAAGAAAGGGCCGAGGCCTGGTATTCCTAACTACCTCTTTCCCATATAGACAGCAGAGTTCTATCCTAGGCACTGTGGGAAACCCTACAAGTATTCCTCACCTTGGAGAACTCACAGAACCAACACCAACCCCCCACCATTAAGAACTGAAAATCTACAAAGCAAGAGAGGTCACAGGGATGTAATTCAACCACATATATTTGTATAAATGAGACCTTTCCTGCTCATATAAATCACTAATATTCTGGGTAGGTGTTTTCCAATGATAACCTCCCAACAACCCTTCCAGTCATTTTTTTTTTTTTTAACTCTGTGTTACAGATGAGTTAATTGGAGGTCAGAATAGGCAAATTATTTGCTCAAAATTAGTAGCGGGGAGAGCAGGATTTCAAACACAGGCCTGTTACCAAAGAGGAAGTCCTTTTCCAAGATGTTCCTACTTGTGCTGACTCTACCTGGACTCTCCTGCCCCTCCCAGACAGATAGATGCACACACTTGCACATACATGCACCCCACTATCTGACCAAATGGTGTCCAACCAAGAGGGTGCTTCCTTAATGCCACCATAACCACAGAGATGTTGGCTCAAGTGTGATGCCTTTTACCTTCTTCCAGGTGGACGTCATTGCGCCCCCTTCTGTCATTCACATCTCAATTCCAGCCCCTTTATCACAGTGGATTTTATTCTAGTGCTTTTTATTATAGTTAATTCATGTATTTTCTCTCGAGGAAGAAAAAATGGCAAGTTCTTGAGAGTAAGAACCTTGACTTAACCAAATTTGTGTCAAAAATGCCCAACATTCAGTGAGCTTTAAAAATGGTGGGGGAGTGCAATCAGGCATCCTAAGTCCTCATCACACTTCTGCTCCTGCACAAACCTGGGTAAGTCCCTTGGCTATCTGGACCTGAGCCTTCTTACGGGTAAAATGAAGGGAAAAACTAGCATGATGTCTAAGATTCCTTTCTGAGAGTAAAAAAAAAAAAAAAAAAAAAGTTATATTCTAAAGGAAAGAAACCCTAGTAGAGTGCTAGTCACCTACCTACAGACTTTGAGTTCTGACCAAGTGCCCACCCTTTAGGAAAGCGGTTGATCCCCCATCACCCTCCCATGTAACCAATCCAGGCCTCCACCCTGTCTGCCTGCTCTGTTCCAGAAAGTCCACCACTCATCCAGCCTGCCCTCTTTCCCAGATTGGGAAGAAACTACTACAGTATATTTAGTATGTAGTAGGATACCGCCCATAGCAAGATAAGTCAACTATCTTCAGCGAGGCTAAATATCATGCCCTGGGTCCAACAGCCAATATATGACAAAGCCTGATTTTAAAGCCCTAAATCCTAAGCTGCTAAATCCATATTTCACATGGTAAATACATATAGCATAAAAATGGTTAAGATGGTAAATTTTAAGGCATTGCTCAGTGGCATTAAGTCCATTTACACTGTTATACAACCATAACCACCATCCAGCTCCAGAATTTTTAGCTAGAATGTTCAACTGCTTGACCCAATAGAGTTAAATCTGACATTGATTTCTACACTTCTCTGGAACCTTGAAGGGAGGATGGGTGGAGATTCCCATAGAGTGATTTGTATTATGTATGTATTTGATAATACATAAACAATAAATTATTTTACTCTGATAGCCCCAGAAACACAAATTCACATTTTTAAGTTCATATCCTGAAACAGATAGACACTCATAGATAAAATCTGAGAGAGGTGACCTGCTCAAGATCCCCCAAACCCAGTCGAAAAGAAAGAAGAAAGATTCTAGAAAGTAGACTGGAAAGGAGTGAACCCATGGCTA